CCCCCCCCCCGTCTTTCCCCTGCCTACGCTATACTTAGCTCAGCCCTTCCTGCTGTACCCAAAACTACTCCCCACCCCAAGAGAAGGCAGGGGTGAGGGGGCAGGAAAGAAGGGTGCCTTACCCTGATTCAGCTTTGGCTTGTGGTCTAACGTCTGCTGTTCTTTTCCACATGCTTCTCCCCCCACCAGGCCTGTGCCACACCAGCCCTGCTCCCCCCACCCCCTGCTTTGTGCTCCACTTTCCAGCGGAAGCGGTTTCTGCGGTGGGGTGTAGAGAGCAGAAAAAAGTGACCCAGATCTCGATTGTGGCGTCATGGAACTGGTGGTGCGTCCTCTTCCTGCCCCACCTGGGCCATGAGACCCTCTTCCACATCCTGTTCTACCTTGTTATTTCCTGCCTTTGCTTTGCAGTGCGGTTTTTCTTTCTCAAAATAAACAAGAAAGCGCAAAGTGGTGATGAGGGGGGCACATTGTGGTGGTGGGAGATTGAAAGCCTAATATCCGAAAGTATCTTTGAACCAGACCTACAAATTCAGTGTTTTGCAGATCACATGCTAAGAGTCACTTTAGTCAACATACTTAACTTTATTTGTACACTCATCCCCTCGCTCAGCAAATCTTATCACTGGGGCCATTTAACCTGGAAGAGAAAAGACTGGGATGTGGAAACAGAGGCAGCACACTGTCCTCCTTGGCCATACAACCAGGAGTGGGTTTGATGTGCAAGACAAAAAAAATTAAGGTAGATACTAATTTTAAAAACTGATGCTAAAGGTAAATGGGCATGGAAGCTTTTCTTCCAAGTCCCTGAAGATTTCTGGATGAGGTTAATCAGTTGGAAATCTGTGAAATGCAATGACTTGCATTCTAGTTCAGATACAGTTCAGACAGCTTCATCAAGCTGTTTCCCTGTGAGGCAGCAGACCTCATCATGAGCAAAATGTGCACCTCAAGAGCTGCGTGGAATCTGGCATTTAAAGAGCTGCCATCTTTCTACACCTGGAGAAAAATGAGAGTGACTTTTGTGTCAAGGGAGAGACAAGAAAATGAGTCCCTGAACATCAGTACTGTAAAATAATCAGGGCAATACATCCAGAAAGTTTGAAGTTGTTCCTTGACAGGAGGGGTCAGTAACTCTCTGTCCCCCTGTGACAGGCCACATGCTAAATGGCAGCACCTTGGCAGGAGACCAGGGAGACTTTGTTGTGTTGCTGCTCAGCGCTTGGAGTCAGATCCTGTGGCAGGGATGGTCTTCACATGGGGATCCTCTCCCACACAAAGCATCAGGGCTTTTTACTAAAAACATTTGAAGCATGAGTCTTTCCAAAATTGGAGTTCCTTTCAATGGCTGTGAATCCAGCAGGGTGAGGAATACCCCATGGCAGGGAATTGGCCCCACCAGTGCAGCCAGGCTTTTCCTGCCATTCTGTTTGGGCACCGGTGTGAGGTACAAGCAAGGTTCAAACTTTGCATGGGTGTGCTTCTTCTACTGCACCCTTTTCATTTCTCCCTTCAGAGGAATCTGTTGCTTCAGAAGAAGATGGAGAAATTAAAGTTATAAAAGGAGAAAATTTCCTTTCCAGTCTTGCCAATCACGGACTGAACCTGGAGATACAGGCTAGTCGGTTGGTGTCATTAATGCAAAGCAAGTACCTTGTTCTCCAGTGATGCTTGGGAGTGGGGGACATTTAGAGGCAGGACACTTCAGGCTCCTGTGTTCCTCATAGCACCAGACATGGCCCTTCAAGAGTCTGGACTGCTTACTAGTCCTGTCACTGTCGGCAAGCCATATTTTACATAGCCCAGAGTCTACTCTTGGAGGAGGGGTGCTCTCTCCCATTCCCCTCCCTCTGAGCCAGCCACGCTGCTCTCACCCCAACACAGCAAGGACATCCTGGAAAGGGACTTGGTGGCTGTTCCCCACCCCCTGCAGTGGATCCAGCCAGTTATTGCCTGGTGGCCATGTCAGGCTGAAGAGAGTCTGGACACCCCTTTTCTTCACCACTCCTAAAGCTCATCGAAGGGTAAAACAAGTTCCACAGACTATAGATACAAAAGACAAACAAGTTTCTTATTTTTTATAAGAACTGTTTAATAGCAGCCAAAGGCCAAAAGAAATTCCAAGCCATCAATGTGCTTGCCAGCACAATTCAAGAATTAGCGTGAGCAAATTTCACATGTATGCACTGTTTCCAAGGAGTGCAGACACGGACAGGTAAATATTCCAGTATTGTTTTAAGCAACGATAATAAAAAGAAATTGAGAAATCTAAGGTTGCTAGAACTAAACAAAAAGAACAAAAGTAGATTATATTTTTACTAAACACAAAGCCAAATCTTAATTCAGAAAATGTAAAGGCCAGATAGACTTCAAAAAATACTGAAACCCATCCTTTTTTTCTGTGATAATGAAGTGAGAATTTCACTGAATTCAGGACTTCTGGGAGATCTAGCAACATATTTTTAGGAGAAAAAAATAAGATACCTTGCTCTCATCTAGCAAATGACATCAGGACATGGAGCACAGCACCCTGAAAAAGTCTCCCTTTGCTATTAGGCGTGTTTCGTTTGCAGCACTCTAGGGGTGCACTCTAAGATGTGCATACCTGAAAGCTACCAGACTATGAAAAATTCGCATTCAAGAGTTATTTAGTTTGCAGTTTTTGACCAATGTCACTGTCCCAAGCAGAAATTGTGTGTTATTTTAATGCAATTAATAGTGATGATTCGCAATTTATAGCTATAGCAAACTATGCTTCATGCAAAGAGGGGTGTTGTCATACTAAATGAATCAGATATCCGGGGGGAGCAGAATGCTGAAAATGTTAAGCTTATTTTTGAGTACCTTTATAACAATGCAAATAAAGCATTTAGACTATAATGGCTGGTGTGATATACAGAAACAGCAAGTGATATCCCTTGCAACAGGAACGCCTGTGCTCCCTCTTGCACACGACGCTGGTAAAGATTCCTCAGCAGACATTTCTGGTACTTGAGGACTGCGCCGTCTGGCTACTTTCATTCCTGTAGCAAAATGAAAGTATGTGAAATCGTTGTTTGTGATACAGCCACAGGTACACAATTCTAGACCTGAAATGTCTCCTAGAAAGAGGAGAAAGAGACACTGGGCCAAAACTAATATATTAGGTCTGAGGTTTTAAAACATCAAACTTTCCCAGCTGGAGACTGGTCAGCGGATGAGTCTGACAGATGAATACAGGCAAGGGAAGGGATGCATGGAGAAATAGAAAGGAGAGTTGTCTAGAAAGAAGAAAAAAGTTAAATTTGTATGTGGATAAAGAAAAGTAAGTAGACTTGAGGCGTGGGCAAAGGTGTTGAGGGATTTTATTGTTGGTAGACAAAAGGTGTATGGATAGATTGCATAACCAGTTATTACAGAGAGAAGGAATATTCATAGCTAATGAACTTATCCCGATGTTTTCTGTAAGAGGCCTTACCACCTCTGGACGTACTCACCTTTTTTTTCCACATAAGCATCGTCATCAGCACATTAAAAATTATTCCTTTCATTAAAATAATTTTCAGACCCAGGTGTGATAAAGGCAACATGTTCAGGTTTTCATCTGTAAAAGTAACAGAGAATGAAAGTCACAAGAGCACTGAGGCAATCTTCCTTCCAGACAGACTTAAAAGCACTTCTTAATGAAGCTGTTCCACTTTGTGTGACTGAGTCAGCCATCGGGACAGCTAACGGGACAGTGAGCAGGATTGACTCTCAAGACTTTCATTTCTTCCAGTTGCTGTTTCAAGGGCTGGGTTTTCATTCAACAATCACTTAATTATCCAATATGCAAATCTGCTGACTATTTGGCTGGTTTTTAAATATACTGTATGAACCCAGGAGGCTGGAGGTATCCCTCCTTCCTCTTCCTAAATTTTTTTAAGGTGGGCAGGGAGAAAACAGGTCAAATTTTATTCAAAGAACACAGTCTGTTTGGATTGTCTATTAATCTTAAGTTAAAAGCCATTTTCATTTGAAAAGACATTGATCTATATTGGGGAAGCAGAGAGCTGTCATCAAAAAGCCATTTTATCTTTGAAAACCTCTCTCTGAAATGACTGATCATATCAGCCAAGTTTACTGATGAGTATTTTGCTGAAGTGGTGTTTTGGAAACATTTGGCTGACTGGTTTCTTTTCTGCAAGGCTGCGTGTTTACAAAAGTACAGCTTTTCTGCACACAGGGCAAGCGCGGGGGCAAGCTCAGCTCCTCTGAACCAGCAGGAGCAGCAATTGCTTGTGCTCCAGCAGTGGCCAATGTACTCCCACAGCCACCAGCTGAAGCAAAGCTTGCTCAGATGCACCGATCTTCAGCACAGCCCTGCTTCTGAGCACTCCCTGCAGAAACCACCAGCTTATCTTCTGGTTCATTAGGTGTTTGTGCACTCAAAATTAAAAACAAGTCTTTTGAAGTGTGAAATGCAGACAGACATCCAGTAAGGCTGACTAATATCAGTATCTTAAATCATTATGTGCTGGGGACCAGTTGTTTGGCACTAGTCCTAGTAAGAGCCTGTAGGCACTGGCTACATGAGTCACATTAAATTACCAGCTCAGATCTGGAAGACTACATTAACCCAGTGACTCCCAGCCTTGATGTTTAAAGCCTATCGGGCCTTTTTGGAAGTTTCCAGTCTGAGCTTATTGCTCCAACAGGAGTTCCACAAACAGGGGACATTAGCAAAAACTTGGGAAGACATTTCTGTTCATCAGGCCGAGCTTTACTCCCAAAATGCTGTGTACATACCTGTCCTGAAGTGTAGAGACAACCCTGTAACACAGATAGCACTGGCATCTGCAGACAGTAAAATAGATTTTATTAAAAACAAATGTACTTCTTCAGACATTCATAAAGATATCCCTACTTAGAAGGGCTGGATTAGAGGTTCTGGCCACTAACCCTCCCATAAACACTCATTTCTGCTGTTTTCAGGGCAAGCATAAAATGTGACCTAATTAAACTTTAGAGTCCCATCAGAAAAAGGAATTTCAAGCTTTATACCCACCCCTCAGTGTGACTTTAAGATCTCTCTGCTGTGACTGTACAAGCCTACTGACCCTTCCACTGAGGAAAAAGGCAAAACAAAAGAGAGGCAACAAGGCAATATTCCTCTGGAGTGTGGGACCATAATTCAGCATTGCTTGCAGGGTTGAGACACATGAAGAAGTCCTGCTCACACTAATATCACAGAGACCAGAGTAGCTCTAGCACTGTATACACATCCAACAATGACATTACCACTTTCAGGATCCTCGCCCTTCAGTTTTCCAAAGTCCTTAACATTTGCACCACACTGCATTTCATCTTTCTTGGCCCAGTAGGTTGACAGGTAGCTTGCTTCCTGTTTGTTCTCAGATGTTGCCACCTCCACAATAGCATTTGTCTCAGTATTAGTTGAGTTAAGAGTTTCAGGGGAGTAATCTGTGATAAGGCACATCTCCAAATCCGCATCATCTTTAGAGGTCAGCCTGTAGACTGAAGGAGATGGAGTAATATCTGAAAAAGGAGAAGAGAAGAGACATTAGCTGAGAGTATACAGTCACAGTTCCTTCAATCTTAACATACAGACACTTAAGCATGGAGGTTTTTCCATTATTCCAGTGGGAAGTTCCCTGATCATAGAGATCTTGTGCTAGGACACCTTTAGAGAACCAACGCATCCACAGCAGATGATGCAGGAGCTACATGAGACTTACATCGACTTATGTTGTGTGGGAGACACAGAGTGGCCAGGCAGGATCCCTAGAGTACCTCATAGCTGATATTCATACGGGCAACCACAGCCTAGATGTCCATACCTAACCTCATCATTCCTCTCTGTAACAACTCATCTAACTCTACTCTGCAGCCTGGGCTTCCTTTTGTGTCTCAGCCTGGATGCATTCAGGAATGTGTATGACAGGCGGAGAGCTCTCTCATCTTGCTTCACTGCTATGATGTGTGTCTGAAGAGAATTCTGCCTTTCCTGCAAATGTGTACTCAAATCCACCACTGACATTCAAGATGCCACTTCCTCCACCTGTCCTGAGGGACAGTGGATAAACACCAAGTCTTAAGGGTGTCCACCAGTCTAGCTAATTTTGTTCCTATAGCACAAAGCTAGGAAAGACACTGAAAAGGAGGAACACATGGTTGCATTTAGCAAAAGAAAGAAGAAACAAATGAATGTTTCATTATGTTCCACCACCCAACAGTATGGTGCAAGATTTTTTTTTTACTTAATTTTGCCCTGAAGAAGAGGAGTTTGGGGAACTAAAGGTGGCAGATATAAGACACCTGGGGTTTATTTCTGTTTCTTACTTCAAATTCTGCTAGGAAGTCAGTTAGACTAGGATTTTCCACACGTCAAAACACTACCTGTGGTTAAACTCTTTTTTTTTTGCACATTTAGCTTTGAAAACTTGTACTCTTAGCATACATTTCATCTTGTCCAGCTCTTGAAGAGAATTCTTCAAGAGATTCTTTAAGAAGGTGCTTTCCTAAATCTTTGTTCATGCACAATAGTAAAATCTTATAGGCATTGCAGTACTCTAATGATGAGTAGACGAAATGCCATTAAAGACGTTCTTTAGCCAAGCTGCAGATATAGGGCTCTCAGCAACCCTCCAGCTGCATTTTCCATTTGACTTCACAGTCACAGGATTGAACTGGAGCTTCAGTTCACATTTCCAAACTGACAATATGTTATCGAGTAGGGCTGCGAGTTTAGATTAATATTTGCTTCGTCCCTGCTCACACATAAATACTGTAGAAATATTAAAGACAGCTAAGCTCCCCAATGAAGAAGTTTTAATTTCTTCTCATGGGAGAAGTTTGAACTAACTCTTGGCTTTTAGAGGTGCAGACCCTAGTTCTGTCACTGAGATAGATGCTTTTCATCTGTTCAATTACCAGATGTCGGCACCTTAGAGAAATAGCCATACTTCTTTATTAGGATGACCTCAGAAAAAAACTAATCCACAAAGTCTAATGACTCATTCTCAGGCTTTGAAAAACCTGATGAGACTCTCTCTGTCCCAGCTACACAATATATGTTCTAATGTAGACCATTCCAACCCCACTCTCCCAAACCCTGACTCTCCCAACCCCATCTCCCAAACTCCCAGTTATTGTTTTGAAAATAGTTTTCAGTGATTGTTTGTTAGGGAGACAGGAACAGATAAAAAGCTTGATGGTAGATCCCTGTATAAAATACAGATGGAACCAGGGCCCATCATTGTCATGGAGTGCATGGACATGAATGAGAAAAGGAGGAATTGATTGAGCTGTTCTGCTTCTCTCTCATAGAGAGTACTATGCTTTCTAAAGAACTACATATCCACCTCTCTGCAAATTAGGGTGTTTTTCTCCCTTTCAATCTGTGCAATGCTTTTATCATGAGAAGATAGAAAAATGTCTGTCTTTTGCAGACTTTTGCAGTCTTTTGCAGACTTTTGCAGTTTTTTGCAGCTTCAACAGTGCTTGTTTTGCAAAACACTCATTTCTCATTCTTGCTCAGAGGGCTGCTGCCTTTGTTCTGGTACCCAAGTCTTTTTCCGGTAAGTTCCTTTCCATATTTGCAAACTGTTATGAAAGTTTGCAGATATCAGTCTGGGTAAATACCAGCTATTATAACCATTATAACCACAGCCCTGTCACCAGTGTTTTCTGTTTTTCTGTCTTAATGAGTTGGTGGATATGTTGGAGATGCTTTATTGATATTTATGACATGCATTTGCAGAAAAGATTGAGATAACCTCAATCTCTTTCAGTGTAAAATTTTTTCCTGTTATCCATCCTAAACCTCCCCTGGTACAACTTGAGGCCATTTCCTTTTGTCCTGTCACCTGTTCTTTGGGAGAAGGGACCGACCCCCACCTTGCTACATCCTCCTTTCAGGGAGTTGTAGAGAATGTTCAGCGTCCTTTTATCCAGGCTGAACACCTTCAGCTCCCTCAGCCGCTTCTCACAAGACTTGTGCTTTAGACCCCTCACCAGCTCTGTTGCCCTTCTCTGGACACGGTCCAGCACCTCAGTGTCCTGGGTTTATATCACGTGTTTATATCAGGGAAAAGTTGAGATAAAATTTTCTAAAATTTCATATTGGGAAGCAACACACTATTTGTGTTCACTTATAGATTTATTCATGTACCACATAAACTGTGAGAGACATTTACTACAATCTTGTCTGCTGCTCCTTTCAACAATGTTAAGGAAAGATTTTGGGGGCAATTTTGCTCCTTCCACTCTTTAAAGCTCACAGTTGAATGAGATGGCTTAATCTACCTGTGTAACAATTGTCTGGAAACAAAAAGACTTGAAGCGGCTGCTCATGAACCTCCTGAGAACCTCTGGCTGTTTCACAAAATAATTTGAATGCTTTTTTCTTCTAAAATCACAGCGAGTTTTAGTTGCCAAAACAAGTTTTCAATTTTATATGCCAGAGATCTAGTTCCTAGAAAAGAATTCATAGAATGGTTTGGGTTGGAAGGGACCTTTAAAAGTCATCTAGTCCAACCATCAGCCTAACTCTGACAAAAAAAATAAATAAGAAATAAGCAATAAAAAATCACTAAACCATATTCCTGAGGACCATGTCAACCCGTCTTTTGAACACCTTCAGGGATGGTGCCTCAACCACCTCCCTGGGCAGCCTATTCCAATGCTGGATAACCCTTTCAGTGAAGAAATTTTTCCTAATATCCAATCTAAACCTCCCCTGGTGCAACTTGAGGCCATTTCCCCTTGTCCTATCTCCTGTGACTTGGGAGACGAGACCGACCCCTGCTTCTCTACACCCCCCCTTCAGGTAGTTATAGGGTGCGAGAAGGTCTCCCCTCAGCCTCCTCTTCTTCAGACTGAACACCCCCAGTTCCCTCAGCCTCTCCTCATAAGACTTACTCTCCAAACCCCTCACCAGCTTCGTTGTCCTTCTCTGGACCCGCTCTGGCACCTCAATGTCTTTTTTGTGGTAAGGGGCCCAAAACTGGACACAGTACTCGAGGTGGGGCCTCACCAGTGCCGAGTACAGGGGGACAATCACCTCTTGGGTACTACTCACCACGCTGTTGCTGATACAGGCCAGGATACCATTGGCCTTCTTGGCCACCTGGGCACACTGCTGGCTCATGTTCAGCCGGCTGTCGACCAACACCCCCAGGTCCTTTTCTGCCAGGCAGCTCCAGCCACTCTGCCCCCAGCCTGTAGCATCCATGGGGTTGGTGGGACCCAAGTGTGGGACCTGGCACTTGGCCTTGTTGAACCTCATCCCGTTGGTCTCGGCCCATTGATCCAGCCTGTCCAGATCCTTCTGCAAAGCCTCTCTACCCTCCAGCAGGTCGACACTGCCACCCAGCTTGGTGTCGTCTGCGAACTTACTGAGGGTGCACTCGATCCCCTCGTCCAGATCATTGATAAAGATGTTAAAGAGAATGGGTCCCAGTACCGAGCCCTGTGGGACACTGCTCGTGGCCGGCCGCCAACTGGATTTGATTCCATTCACCACCACTCTCTGGCCCTCCAGCCACTTTTTAACCCAGTGGAGACTATTCCCATCCAAGCCATGGGCAGCCAGTTTCTGCAGGAGGATACTGTGGGAGACTGTATCAAAGGCCTTGCTAAAGTCCAGATAAACAACATCCACAGCCTTTCCTTTATCCAGCAAGCGGGTCACTTTGTCATAGAAGGAGATCAGGTTTGTCAAGTAGGACCTGCCCCTGGTGAACCCGTGCTGGCTGGGCCTGATCTCCTGGGCATCCTTCATGCTCTGCATAATGACACTCAGGATGATCAGAACGGCACATGATTCATGTAGCACTAGCGAAAAAAAAAACCCACATTTGTTTAATAAGTAAGAAAAAGAACTATGCAAAAAGAATTAATTTAAAATCCCTTTCTAAAAACAGGTGGAAAATCATTTTTCTGTTGATAGCAAAAACTCAGAACAACTTTTGATTTTACACTTATATAATTGCCTCAGACGTAGATGTCTATTTCACACAAAAATTGAATCTTTTCCTGAGCAGTCTATTTAATGGGTACATTTAATTAAATAATTTATTTTGGATCATAATCTTGTGCCATTTCCAAAAATTACTCTCCTAGCTCCAGTATCCCACGCAGCCCAGTTTGAATCATTGCAAATACAGTAGTCTAAGTCACCTGGGAAATTTCTTCACAATGCTGTGTGAAACTAAGAGTTAAACATGAACCCATAAGTATCTCTGATTTTTTCCCCCTCAATCTAAACCAAAACACTACTACTGTCTATCAGGACTCAGAAGTTAATGATATGCCAATATCATCCTAGTCGCCCTGCTCCATCTTCACAAGCATCCTGTTAAGAAATAATTCTGCGTTCATTTTCTTGCAGCCCTCACTTCTCTGTCCACCCTTCATCTAATTTATGAGTTTATGCTCATTTTTTATAAAGGTAGACCTATTCAGAAACACTAACCAGTGGACACTGCTCCCACCTTCATATCTTCATAGTCTGTCCTCCAAATCTTACTCACCTG